TGGGGAATCAGCGTGAGTGACGCGCTTACTAAACTTGTCTATATACCTCTGGCGAGACTCAAGGCAGAACGGGCAAGTGAGTTCCGTTAGCGGTCGGTAATCGTTCATCAATGAGTGTCATTTTCTCCCCTGACGAGCTCGTGGCTCAGTGGTTAGTGTGTTAGACTCTGATCAGAAAGGTCGTGAGTTCGAGCCTCGGGTGATGCACCGCTTGGGGCTGTGTATGACTGGCGGTCGATGGCTAATAAGCCAGAAATGGCCATTCCAGTCTCCCGCTTGTATTTGCGGGCAATACTATCCGCCTATATGTGCTGAACCTTCATCGCGCGTGGTGGAATTTGACGGGCTGATTGCTCGGCCATCTGGCTGCCTGGCGGTGGCGTTAGACGACGCGTTGGCCTGTGCGTTTCCCAAACAACAACCTGCTTTGGCCATTTTCTTCCTGGGACTCGCATCTGTCCATCTCTATTGGCAACTTAAGAGGTCCTCATACAATAATCAGCAGTGATGATTAGGCCATTCTTCGAAGGAAGAAGGCGCCGTCCTTTGCGTGAGGGTCACAACAACAAAGGCATTTTCGACGAAGGAAGCTGACATTCCTTTGTCTCGTTTGCAAACAATGGATGCCGTGGAACACGGGCAGGGTAGGGCTACCACCTTTGCCTTGCCTTGACCAAACTGAGCCTCGGCACCGAATATGGATTGGGCGGGTCGTTGCACTTCTTGTTCCAACAATCACATCTTGTCAATTACTTCCTTGTGTTCGCATTTTCGCAGTAGCGACTTATTTTATTGTTCCGAACGGACTGCTAGTATGTTCTTTAGCAGTACACTAATGCTGCTATTGCTCTCTGATTATGTCTCTGATGACGAATCCGTGACGGATATGAAAACCGCAGGCGAATAAAAGTATTGTCCCAGCGATCGAGTCGTCTTCTTCTCAGTACACTGATACTTAAGTTGACCTACTCATCATAATCATCGGCAAAAAGTCCCCCTGTCCTTACTTACTTTTCCCGAGGACTTTGCATTCTGAATTGCTTATCTTCCAGAGTATACGCACAAGGATGGCGTATTCGGTTCGTAAATCTAGCTAGCTTAATGGTTTTGATAGGACTGTCTTTAGCGGTCCTTTTTGCCTTTTGACTTATAACAATAACCCGACTTTTATATCTTCAGTAACCCGACTTCCCTTTTTTCGTTAAATTCCACCAATAAATGGCCGAATTTGCCTTCTTTCGTTACATTCCGCCAATATAAGGTTGAATTTCTCTCGCTTGGCATCAGTATCATGCGCAAGAGGAGCTCATGTTGATCGGTTTGATTCAATTTAGTACATTGAAACAAATATAAATTTCTTTGAATTATTATTTTTTGATCGCTTCCACTACAATTAAATATTCATTTACACTCACTAACCAAGCATTAAATGTTTGACCAGAAGATATGTTAGACAGTTTGGCGGGGGAATATGGCTCTACAAGGCAGTTTTGCCATAGTTTTTACTAGGTTCCCTATTTTGCCGTACGTACTTTAACCCCAAGGAACGTCATCAGCAAACATCCAAGGCGACGTGTCTTTTTTGTTTGTTCAAACGATATCAAGTGAGAGAGGAAGTCCTTACCAACGGGAGGGGAGAGGATATCCGAACCTACGTCTACAACCCAACTAATCGTTTATTACGAATTCAAAAAGACAACTTTTCCGTTCGAACTTGTAATTATTAGCTTTTCTGTGGGAGGAGCTAAAATATTTGTTACTTTCTGTCTCCCAGATAAATAACCAATGGAGTGTTAGGTCCTTCGCTACCGATCACGCGGTGCCCAGTCAGGGCTATATTCTATACAGCACGGACGACGACTTGAAGCAAACGGTCCCCGTAGTTGCCTTTACAGGTGCGTTTCCTGCCCCATTAGCCGTTTTTTGCATATCTTTGGGTGTTCCGAAAATGTGGAGATGAAGATCTATTATATTTCAATATACGCTCTATCAGCTTGCTTTTGAGTATCTTACGTTGAGGGAAATAAAGCCTGTCTACAAACGTGTCGCAGTAGAGCTTTTTAGGCCGTTTTTTTCTTCTGATTAGTAATAAAAACTACTCTAAAATTATTAGTAGGTGGAAATTCCGCCTAGCCAACGCTTCATTTGTTATCTTAATCAATTTGTTCTAATATTCTTATTGGTCTGGAGGTCTCCTTTGCTGACCAATAGGAGTGTACACATACTGCATATAAGGAAGTAGTTTTTCCTTATAAGTCGAAAATATTCTTTAGGCCTCACTAATCATTCTCGCCGTTAGGTTGGTTGGCAATGTCAACATACCCGAGAAGTGTCGATCTTAACCAATTAAATCTCGATCTTGCCGACGTAACTTAAGCATGTTCGCTGTTTTGCCTTTTCCCTATAATGAACTTCGTTTTTGGTCCTCCTTTATCATTTTCAGGTGATACGCGTTTCTCCATATTCACTCACCTCGCGCATCCAGATCTGTTGAAAGTCAAGCTCCTAATAGCTGAGGCAACCTATCTGGACAGACCCGACAAACACCTGCCAAGTGCACAGTTGCATGGCCACATTCACCTGCAGCAGTATGCTCAAAACGCAGACCTATTCCACGTACGACAAAATTTTATTTTATACAGTCAATCTACTTGTAGTACATAAGTAAACCTTATTGTTTTAACTTAAACGCACCCACAGCACAGACACTGAAACGTTTGGAATTGAAGTCTGATTCTGGCGTATGGATTCCAGCATTTCACGATGGCCTTTCAAATCACGTTTAGGCTTCTTTTTCATGTTGCCACGCGCTAGTGTTCCCCCCATATCAGTTTCAAACCGTCTGGTATCGCATTATTACGGTGGTGGAGATAACCTGGTCATTCAAGACGTCGGCCACTCATTCCGTAGACCGCATCCCAGTCAGAGATTCGCTCCGGAGTCAAAGTAGATCCCCTATCTCATAAAATGTCAACCGAAATTC